CTGATGCAATCACAGATGACGCTATTTTATTCAAGGCCAAACAAATTTCATCACACCCCCTGAAAATAGATTCATATTACTGCACACCACTGCAAATGCCCTAATCTGAGGAAAAAATAGAAATCGATTACACCCTGTCACTCCAGTGGGTCGAAAACTGACCTTATGGTGAAAGAAAGGAAACTAAAGCAGTTGTTTCAATTAATTTCTACAAGGGTGTATATAATGCTTTTGTAAATACCTTACAAGTATATCACAGAAACTATACACGAAAATAGATTCATATTACTGCACACCACTGCAAATGACCTAATCTGAGGAAAAAAATAGAAATAGATTACACCCTGTCACACCAGTGGGTCTAAAACTGACCGTATGGCGAAAAAAAGGAAAATAAACTTGTTTCAGTTAATTTCCACAGGGGGGGTAACTTGTTAATTTTAAGAAACGGAAGGTGGCATTTTAACAATAGGTTATACGAGGGTCAGCCGAAAAGTTCGTAGGCTGACCAAGATAATCTTATGGAATGTTGCCAGTTGCGGTTCAACATAGTCCAACTTACGGTTCATGCACGTCCTTATCCATGTTGCAGAGCTTGGATCCCATTGGTGAAGAAGCTTTCATAAACGGAAGATATGACGTCATCATAATAGCGATACTCGTTCCCAGTCAAGTGTTTTTTCATGTTGGGGAACAGATGATAATCAGATGGGGCCAAATCAGAAGAATAGGGAGACTGGTCAACCAGTTCAAAAACAGCACACACGTACAGTTTTCATGAGAGTTTTATGTTCATAGCTCTTCGTAATTGCCCCAGAAATTTAATAAAGTACTCTCTATTGATAGTGTGCAGATAAACACAGTGCTTTTACATCCCAATAAAATTGAGGCCATTACATACCCTGCAGTTCAAACGGCCTTGTCTTTTTTTTTTTTTTTGAGCAAATGATTGCATGGATTGTCTCTTTGTCTCTGGCTCAAAATGATGGACCCAGCACTCATCCTGATTTAAGAAACGTTCAACCAAACCATCTGGATCCACCTCAAACAATATCAGATTTTTCCCGTGACATGATCAGCCTGGTGCACTTTTGATCAAGTCTCAGAAGACGTTGCACCCACCGAGCAGAACTCTTCTTCATAACAAGTTCATTGTGACATTTTTTTAAGAAGAAATAATCTCAATGAACTTTATCGAAATGCCTAATTTTGAGACACTCAAAGGTAAATTTTATATTCGGGTGCCATTTGTGTGGGTATAGCAGTGGAAGATAATGGCTTGGAACAGGTTAAGATTGTAATGATAGGGAAAACATCCTGTTGGGAGTCGGTTCTACAGGACATTGATTCGCGGTAAGAAGCTGCTTGCGTAGAACTTCTCATCGATGGAATAAGGACGGAATGACGGCGTGTTCTTGCAGTGAAGGTTTGCCTCGGCGAAACCAGGGAATATACTTCGTCCAAGCACTTTCCGTGGAAGTTTTGCCCTTTGTTTGCGAGAGGCTTGTCCCATGTCGCCCGTGGGGACAGATTGCCGATTTTTAAATAATTCCTCAACCACAAAGGCTCAAAAAACCTTTTTGAACTCTATCAAAGCTGGAAGGTCCATTCTGGACAGCACTCAGCATTGATATGGCAACAATACTCCATTATTTTTTTTTGCTTTGATTTTTACCAATGTAACGGTATTTTTAATTTAGTCAGGTATTTAATTATTAATAAAATTAAGCTGAATTTTGCGTGCATTCTTAGCAATGGATCGCATATATTAATTCCACTTCAGGTCGAGTTTTTTTGATTGTAAGAGACTTTCAAAAAATGTTTGTGCTTCTCCGATAGGACCACCGTTCATCTTGATTATTGTTAGTTCGAAACAGATCGGCGATGATAGAATGGAACTAGCTTTGTCTTCTAGGCATTGAATGTTTGTTTTCAAGATTTTTAACCCATTGCAAGATCGGAAGAGAGATCAGTCGCCAATCTCTGTCCATCGAGATTTTCAGTGGTGCGCCCGTATATAGTCTTAAAATCGGCATAGATGTTTACAAGTGATCTGTGTAGAAGTCAACAAACCAACATGGCTATTCTTGTATCCCCTTTGAAAGGCAAGCCATTTCATTAATCTACCTCATTTATAGGAGAGCACCTAATGCAGCAGGTGGGTAATTCCACTTTGACAATGAATGGACCTGCCCAACACATTTGCATGAATGGACACTGTTCATTTTGTATCTCTCCATGGCTGCACAAATTGTTTCAAAATAATGACTAAATTTCTACTTGTCAGGCCACTTGCAAGCTAACCAATATTCTACAATCTGAGTATATTCTTAGGCAAATCATTTATGAATATCAAAAAGAGGTTTGGCTCGAAGAGTGTCCCTAGGCGGACGCCTGCGTTGACCTCTCGGGCCCCAGATGACTGCCCATTGGTAACTATCTTCATGAATGTACCTGTTAGGAAAGATTTTATGATCGAGAAGACCCTTCCAGCGATTCCATGACTGGGGATCTTTTATAGTAAGCCTTTTTGCCTCACCTTGTCGAAGACCTTTAATACTATATTCGGTTAATTGTTAATCGCCTGTCATTCATCGCCCAATGGTGAATAAGATCAATGTTTTTCTCAATGGTGGCAGTTGGTAGATGTCCAGAATGTGGGCCAGATTCAAGACTCTCTTCGCCCTCCTAAGTCCAGCTGCCCACATTTGCACTCTTCAGAAAGTTGGCGCAAATAGTGAATTGTTATATAATAACAATCTTCCAATGTGGCAATGAATGCTGAACAATCGCATTAAAAATTAAAGGAAAACAGGTAGCAACAGAAATTCGATCCAACAGTAGGATCCAGAGAATACCATGGAGGGAACGTAAGCAACGAGGAGCTTTTAAGGAAAATGGAAAGAAAAAGACACACATACTCAGAAAGAGGTTAATTTCAATTTTTATTTTTCTATAAAAGTTTCCTAACGTTGGGGATTCTGATTCCTTTTGTTGTTTCGTTTTTCTCCTCTTTCTCATTTCTTTTTCTTGTTTGTTTTTCTTCACCTGCTTCATTATATTTTATTCATTTTTTTGTTACCCTTTTTTTTTCTATGAAGGTTTCCTAACGCTGAGGATTCTTTCAACTTTTATTTTAGCTCCTGTTTCTTTTTCACCTTTTCTTCCTTTTCGTTTGTTTATCTTTCTTTTCAAGGTTAATTTCAATTTTATTTTTCTTCTCTTTCGACAAACCTGTATAATTCTTATTCATTGATTTCTTCTTCTTCTTCTTCTTCTTCTTCTTCTTCTTCTTCTTCTTCGTTTTTCATCATAATCGAAGAAATTCTTATTCTTTCTTTCTTCCCCGTAATCAATTTTCTTTTTTCTCGTTTTTCCTTCATTCTTTCCAAATTATTTTTCTCTTTCATTTCTCATTCTTTTCTTCGTTTATCCTCGTTTTTTTTTCCTTCTACTATTTATCTTTCGCCATAATAACTCCTCTTTACACTTTCTTCATCTTCTTCTAATTCCCTAAAATTATCTTATGTCTTCCCCAATTCCTGCTTCTTCTTCTTCTTCTTCTTCTTCTTTTCTTCTTCTTCTTCATCCTCATCATCAGCAGCAGCATCGTTGTCACTTCTTCTTCTTCTTCTTCTTCATCATCATCATCAATTTCAGCCCATATCGTCGTCAAATTCTTCTTCTTCATTTCTTCTTTATTTCTAATTCCCTTTTTATTTCTTATGTCTTCCCCAATTCCTCTTCTTCTTCTTCTTCTTCTTCTTCTTCTTCTTCTTCCTTTCTTCTTCCTCTTCTTCTTCTTCTTCCTCTTCTTCTTCTTTTTCTTTCTTCTTCTTCTTCTTTCTTATTTTTCTCTTCATTCTTCTTTTATTTCTCTTTTTTCTTTTTTTCTTTCCATTCTTCTTCTAATTTTCCTAAATATTATCTTACGTCTTCCCATATTCGTTCTTCTTTTTTCGTTTTTCCTTTGCCCTGAATCATCTTCTTCTTCTTCTTTTTCTTCTTTTTCTTCTTCTTCTTCTTCTTCTTCTTCTTCTTCTTCTTCTTCTTCTTCATCATCATCATCAGCAGCAGCAGCAGCATCGTTGTCATTTCTTCTTCTTCTTCTTTAAATATTTTTACGTTTTTCGCTATTTCTTTTTCTTCTTTTCTTTGTACGTTCTTCTTCTTCTTCTTCTTCTTCTACTTCTTCTAATGTCCCTAAATATTTTCTTACACCTTCCTCTATTTCTTCTCTTCTTTCTTTCTTGCTTTGCCTTTCTTTTTCTTTTACTTCTCCTTCTTTTTCGTCGTCATCGTCTTCCTCGTTTCTTTTTATATTCATTTTTAATTCAATTCTCATTTAATTCCCTTTCCTTCTTTCTTTCTTTTTTTTCATTCTTTCCTTTCGTTTTCTCTTATTTATTTTTTTATTCTTAATTCATTCCCCACTTGTAGCAATAAGCAAAATGTCTTTGGTGTATTGTTGAAGAGAAAGGAAATGAAATAAAACGATTATTTCACTCCATTCCTCATTATCTTTCCGTCTCGTTCCTATCTTACCAATAATGATTCTGTCTATTATTCTTTTTTTTTTTTTGCTTTGGCATCATTTCATTAAAAAATCTTATTACGCTTTTCAAGTGGTAAGCTAGCGGGTTGAATTTTTTGTTTTTTATTGGGATCTAAAAGACAAGGAAAACTGCAAGAAATATTGATATTTGCTTGAGATAATCATTCACAAAATTTGTCAAAACAAAACGGCAATACAATTACAGAAGGCGGGAAATCAGTCGGAGTGAGAAAAAAACACGACTCCAGACGACATAATCAAAAGTGCAGACGAATAAAAACCTGAGCTGTCGACAATTTATTTGCCTTTTTTTTTTTCTTTAAATACTTTTGTATGTTTACAGAATTATTCGAGCTGTTTTATCGACGATTCAAGTTTTTTTTTTTTCTGCTTTCAATTCCTTTCTGCTCTTTTTTTACTTTCTTCAATTTTTTTTTTTCCTAAAATGAAAACATCTATTTTTCTTTCTTTTTTTGGGGGGTTTTCTTTCTTTTCGTTTTGTTTTTCTATCTTTCTTTCTCTCGGCATTTTCTTTCTTTTTTTCTTATGTTGCACATATTACAGGTCTTTATGTTTTTTTTTCTTTCTTATATCTCCTTCTTTATTTAAAAACCTCTTCCTCTTTTATCTCTCCCCTATTGTTTTCATCCTCCTTCCTTCCATCCTTATTTATTTATTAGCTTCTATACTCTTTCTAGTTTCTTTCTTTCTATTTCTCTTTCTTTGTCTATATTTGTATACGACTACACCTTCTTACCTTTTGTTTCTCTTTCATTCTTTTTTTCTATTCCACCAACTTTCAATTTTCTTTTTCTCATTGTTTTAACTTACCATTTTCTTTCTTTCATTTTCGATGTACTTTTCATTACGTTTATTTCTTTTCTTTATTCTTTTTCCATTTTCTGTTCAGTTTTTCTTTCTTTTCTACTTTATTTTCATTTTCTTTATTTATTTCATTCATTGTTTTTTTTTCTTATCATTTCTCCTTTTACCGTTTCTCATTCTTCCCTCCCTTCTTTTATAATTTTCTTTCGCTCTTTCTTTCTTTTTAGTGTATCTTCTATATATTTTCTTTCTTTCCTAATTTCCTTCTTTGTTTATGCTTACCATTTCATTTCCATTTCTCATTTTACAGTTCCTTTTTCTTACATTCTTCAATTAATATTTTCTTTCTTTTGTTCTTTTACAATTTTATTTCATTTTCTTTCTTTCTTTATTTCCTTCTTTCTTTCCATCACCCTTTTCACTTTCCAATTCTTTTACATTTTTCACTTCCTCTTTCATCTCCATTCATCATTTTATTTCTTTATTTGTTTCTTTCTTTCTTTCTTTCTTTCTTTCTTTCTTCTATGCATTTTTCTTTCCTTATGTATTTCATTCTTACTTTTTTTCTTTCCGTTTCCTTCCCATTTTCGGTTTCTCTTTCTCCCTCCCTCATTTCATATTTTCTTTCTTTCTTTCTTTCTTTCTTTCTTTCTTTCTTTCTTTCTTTCTTTCTTTTGTATCTTCTATTCATTTTCTATATTTCAGTCTTTATTTCTTTTGTATTTTTCAGTTTCTCTTTCTTCCCTTCCCTCATTTAACATTTTCTTTCTTTCTTTTTCTTTCTTTCTTTTTTCTTTTTTTCTTCATTTTCTATATTTCAGTCTTTATTTCCTTTGTATCTTTCAGTTTCTCTTTCTTCCCTTCCCTCATTTAACATTTTCTTTCTGTCTTTCTTTTTCTTTCTTTCTTTCTTTCTTTTTTTCTTTTTTTCTTCCTTTCTGTCTTTCTTCCTTTCTATCTTTCTTTCTTTCTTTCTTTCTTTCTTTTCTTTCTTTTGTATCTTCTATTCATTTTCTATATTTCCGTCTTTATTTCTTTTGTATTTTTCAGTTTCTCTACTCTTCTCTGCCCTCATTTAACCTTTTCTTTCTTTTTCTTTCTTTCTTTTTTCTTTTTTCTTCCTTCCTGTCTTTCTTCCTTTCTTTCTTTCTATCTGTCTTTCTTTCTTTCTTTCTTTCTTTTGTATCTTCTATTCATTTTCTATATTTCAGACTTTATTTCCTTTGTATTTTTCAGTTTCTCTTTCTTCCCTTCCCTCATTTAACATTTTCTTTCTTTCTTTTTCTTTCTTTCTTTCTTTTTTCTTTTTTTCTTCCTTTCTGTCTTTCTTTCTTTCTTTCTTTCTTTCTTTCTTTCTTTCTTTCTTTTGTATCTTCTATTCATTTTCTATATTTCAGTCTTTATTTCGTTTAGTTTCCTTATTATTTTTCGGTTTCTCTTTCTTCCCTCCCCTCATTTTACATTTTCTTTGTTTGGTAAAAATAGTTTTCTTTTTTTCTTTTTACAAAATTTCTTTCTTTCGTCCATTTTTTTATTAGTATTATTGTTGTTATTACTCTTATGTACCCGGATGTTATATATAGGTAGATGCACTGTAAATGCCATGTATATTTTATGTAATCTATACGATACATAAAAGGCACATAAAAATACTTTTACAGATTTTGGGGGACGGGTTTTTGAAACCAAATCAATGTAAATTGTCGATATCAGCATATTTCCAAAAAATCTATCGTTGTACCTCAACACAGCAACTCATAACAAATGTTCCAATTGTCCTCTGCATGCTTCTACACACGCATACACCCGTCGGATCATTGACTGGCGGACTCATTCAAATATTCCCACGCGATGTCGAATGTTTTCGCATGCCCCCAGGACACGTTGATGAAGCTTCTTTGCATTATTAATATCTGCTGCATAACCCAATTGTTTTAGGTTACTCCACAGATAAAAAACCCAAAGGATTGAAGTCAAGAGACCGTGTAGGCCAGTAAGGTTAAACATCGAAAACATAAGGATAATTAATTCTTTTTAATAATGTATAAATATCCACACTTTCTTTACCGGGTGATGGTCGACAGACTGGAAACACGTGTTCATAAAGATCGTGTGCACTTTAAAAAACATTATAATTTTATTTGTATTTGCGATAGAAATAATTTGTAAAAAAAGGATTAGAAAGAAATAAACGTGTATTTTTTAAGGTTTTATTGGAATTTTATTTAAGTTTCCACATGTCCTCCATCATTAGCAATACAAAGGGTAATATGATTTTGCAGTTCACGGAAAACATTTGCCAACTGATTTACAGTAATGCCTGAAATCACATTAGTTATTTTAGCTATACTTAAAACTAGGTACATTAAACTTTATAACATTTTTACAGATTATTTCTATTGCAAATACAAATAAAGTTATAATGTTTTTAAAGTGCACACGATCTTTATGAACACGTGTTTCCAGTCTGTATGTGACATTGTTTCCGGTATAATAAATATAAATATTTACAATACATATTAAAAAGAATTAATTATCCTTGTTTTCGATGTTTAATATTTTTATATATATATATATATATATATATATATATATATATATTTTTTATTATTTAAAATAAAATGAAATAAAATGGAAAATTAAACATAAAAATTTTATAATAAAAAAATAGCCATTTTTTTTTGACTTTTATGGTGCCAAGGATATGGCCCGTGACACCTCCCAAAGATCATTTATCCTACCCCAGATATAATACTCACTCAGGTTGACAGATCACACACGCTGACCACCTTGCGCCTAAATTTTATGATATTAATGAGAAGACGACAATTATTATTAAATTATTCAAATCAAATTACATCTGTCTGTTTATTATCAGCAGTAACATTTGCACTTTCAATGCTTTGAACGTGTTTTGCATCTTAAATTCACTGTTTTATCTTAAAAAATATATATATATATATATATATATATATATATATATATATATATATATTTTATATTTTATTATAAAACGCAGATTGTGTGTGTGTGTGTGTGTGTGTGTACGTTTATATATTGGATCGGATTTCTACATTTTTCAACCGATTTCAACAAAAAAAATCATTTCACAGGACTGCGTAAAATTACCTTGCAGGTCGTTCTGACAGCGTCAAAATTGGAAAAACAGAATTGTTTTTTTGCACGAAATCAATTTGAAAACACGATTCTGTGGTAATAATGAAAAATAACAACTCATATCGAGGTATACTTATTATAAATCCCAAAAATGTGTGTGTGTGTGTGTGTGTTCGTTTATATATGGGATCGGATTTCCTAATTTTTCAACCGATTTCAACAAAACTTCACTTTTTTTGGCAGGTAGTGTTTCTTATTGTCTTGCACACTTTTTTCTTTTATTTTTACATTCAGAATGCTTTAAAATTCCATTTACAAGACAATTGTTTATAAAAAAATTCTATTCAATCGGTAGACTCATAACGATTGAAAACAATATTTTTTTTTGTGTTTGGGTTTTTACCAAAAAAAACTAAAAATTAAGACATGCGTGTCCGTCAACCTTAAACAATAATCTTTGTCAATTTTATTTTTCAGTCTTTATGATGGTCGATACTTGATCTATCTCTTACTTTTACATCCACGGGCAACGCCGGGCTCTACTGCTAATATATATATATATATATATATATATATATATATATAGGTCGAGGCATTTGAAAGACCGTGTGCATTTTTATGTAGTCTCTATATGTGTATAATTGGTCCCAGAATTATTACCCACCTTCGCTCATAACTATGAATAAAACTGTAATCCATGAAATTCGCATGTAAATTTCATGTTAATGTTTTTGGCAAATAATGAAATAATGGAACAGAAATAATGTGCTTATGCCCACAACAACATTTGAATTTAATCTCAAGCAATAAAATCAAAAATTAGCGAGCAAACATTTTACATGGAACAAAATTACTGGTCGACTTGTTTCAATGCTGAAAGGCATAACCTTTATACTCGATTCATTCATTCATTTTAGTCAGCGCATTTTGTGCCGCTCTGGTCGCCACCCTCCTCCATCTCACAGTTGTGGATTATTGTGAATCTCCAAGCAGAATACTGCAGTGACTTGCCGGTTCCTTTTCTACAAAGGATTTTAAGGTTATCCATGTCCCTCCTCTCAGAGGTGAATTTGTTTTTAAAGTTACCTTCTTGTAGCCTTTCCTTAAAACTGTTAGGACCTACAAGGCAGCAAGTGGTTTGAATTCAGATTTTCCTTCGCCTACACTGTTTGCCACCCAAGGCGAGAAAACCCAGTCTTTTTTGATTTTACACATCGTCTTTGCCTTATAATTACTCTCCACACACTGACAGGTGGTTTGCTCCATTCTTCACTGGCAATGCATTCTAGTTCCTTCAAGTTTGAAGGATTCCTCTCTCCGAATTATCTCTTCAAATGATCCAATAAATCTTCAATCGTGTTTTGTGCGAATTTTGCTATCATCAAAGTATTGCGCATGTATTCGTGCCGTGTGTTTCCGGTTTGTTGGAACGTGCAATGGCGGCTCCAAAACTACTTTCGTGCATTTTGTTTCATACAGGATGTGACCCTACCTCAAATTAACATCATTTAACATGTGAATATCTAAATAACTATACGAACAAAATATTCAAACGGACGTAGATTTTATAACCTATTTCACAAAGCTTCACAATACGCATCACATGTGACACGACACACATCATGTCGGTAGTCCAGATCCTGCCAAACACGCTGTAGCATGCCTTGCGTAACATTCTGAAGTGTCTCGGTGATTATCTGCTTAAGTGCCTCAAAGCTTTGAAGGATTAGGATGTACAGACATAGCCCCATAAAAAAATCACAAGGTGTCAATTCAGCTGAACGTGGCAAATTCATTGTCATTAGTATTGGAATGACAGATTCATCTTCGGAGTAGTTTATCATTAAGATAAGTCCACACAAGCAACATAGTTTTTGCACATTTTGTTAAAATTTGAGATTATTTGAGCGAGAATTGGATATTTTATTAGACTACAAAATGATATCAGTTTTTGGGAGACCCTGAATTATTTTTTTAAAAGACACAATTACTTATCCCTATCCATGATACCAGATACTGTAACAAGTTCTGGTTCAGAAGCGTGGAAACATCCTCAAGGCAAAATGTTGTATAGCATCCTCGTTATGGGGGTGTTTTGGTTACTATGCCCATTAATACAATGTTGTACACCTCTTTTTACTGGGGTGGTTCTTGGGGCGACCGGGTCGAGTCCATAATAACGTTGCCTTCTTTTTCGGATCTTCTTTCTTGATCGCCAGTTTTTAGTTCGGAGATAAAAGAGAATTTCAACAAAAGGGATTTAAAATCTTACTAGTTTATTAACCACATCAACGGGTACATCTTCTAACTAGCCAGTGGTGTTGTTATCCCATCCCTCTTCGGAGCAGTTTTCTAGACAAGAAAATAACCACGTCTACATTGCATGATGTGTAAAACTTGACTCCCTGAAATTCCTTTCTGTCTCTAACATTCCCACGCTAGTTTTAGCCAATTAAATACGACTTCCTTCGTTTTCCTGCATCTGACCTCAAAGATCAAAATGAAGAAGTCAGTAGAGAAAAAAATTCTCTAAAAAATACTGGTTTAATATACTATTTTTTGACAATAATGCTCTCATCACCGCGCTTGATTTGTGGGGCAACTATTTTTGGGATTTACATTTATATATATTTCACTACAAACAAGGACATAAAGCCACCAAGAAACAAGGCGTGACGCTGGATGAAAGAATATAAGAGAAGTAAACATTTGTTAAGGAATTAAGATGACCCGTCCTGGGTATGACGATAAACTACATCCGCGTTCTGGGCAAGATGATAAACTACGTCCAACAGTAAGATCTCTGATCAGGAGATTTTGAGGAGCGTGGAACCACCTCTTAATTGCTTGTTTTCCCGGGTTCACCCTGATCCAGGGTGTAGGACATGTTAGGGTCCCAACTATGGGTAAATCGTTAACCACCAAACTGGGATCAAAACACTACGTAAGTGTAAAAATAGGTTTTCATACCAGAAATACTTTATAAAAAAAATATTACCAGCAATACATTTTTGAAAAAAATAGATATTACCAGCAGTACATTTTTGAAAACAAAAGATATTAACAGCTATAAATTTTTGAAGAAAAAATATTAGCAGAAATAAAAATTTTGTCAGCATTAGATAATCCATTCAGGTTGATATGCTGTAAAACAAGCCAAAACCAAGAATTATGATGACAGAAAATAACTATTGCAATTGAATTTTTGAAGATCAAAATTGGCTTGAAAGCAAGAAGTCAGAAGAGATTTCCACCAGCGAGAAATGTGAGAATCGAAGCTGTAAGCATTAGTTTTATCTAGCCAATTCATCTGTAAAAATGTTGAGATATTTTTGACAATCAGGTACTGCACTTAAATTCATAAAGTCAAGGTACCACAGTGGAAATATCATCGCAACAATTGCTATGAAAATGTTTATAGCAAAGGCTCAAGGAAGTTAAGTTTCGTTGGTGGGAAAGTGACTCAAGCCGAGATGCCAGGTCAGAACCAATAACGTTGCAGATTATTCTTTGGATTTTATCAAGAAACTCTAAATATATAGCCGGGGTTTAAGACCATATGTGGCAGCAATATTCGAAGCATGGGCGAATGGTATAGTTAGACACTTGTAAGATAGATTCAGGAGAGAACGGTTGTCTAGCACGACACCATGGGAAAACATTCCTAGAAGCAGACCTCGAAATTGATTCATTATAATGTAGGCTGGTGCGTAATATTTCCTTTATTTTCAGGAATATCGGTAAAAAAAATATTCCGTTCTATAACATTTAGATTTTTTTTTTTTTTTTTTTTTTTCTGCTATCAGACATACCCAGCTGGTCAATCAGAAAAAGAGTTCAATTAGAATGGTACAAAAACAGCATCATGTTTAGATGTAACAGAGTCTATCTTCTTCAATTACTTTAAAGTACTTTTATTAAAAACATTTTCAATTAACGCAGAATGACAGAATTAGTTTGTATTTATTCAATCAAAGTTAGCTGAGGTCATGAAGGCAACATGATGACACATTTCAGGCCACAATTACTTTGGAGTTTTTGAAATTCAGTTTGTCAGTGTGCTACCGGGGATGTAAAAGAGGATACATTTATAAAGTAATTGCTAAGTATGATGAAGATTGGATGAAAAATCAACGAAAAATAAGAAAGAAACCAGTAAAAATCGCCATTTTTCGCTATTTACGTGGGTTTTCATTATATGGGTGAACACAATTATCAAGTTAAATGACTGTTAAACAATCAACTTATTGTTGGCTACAATTGAGGGAAGTTTGTATTAAATTGCTTGAAAATTGAGGGAGTTTTTAGCTTAAAATCTGTGTTGAAATCGCCATTTTTCGTTAAATACAGTGGCGTAGACATAAAACTGAGGTATCGATGAGCTGCTCATGATGTAAATAAACGAAATCGAAGGAAAAAAATGTTGAGTTTATCCAATTTTGATCGGCTTTATCGATTATTGATTATTAAAATTATCGATTTTTTACGCTAAAAACCTATCTCTTAAATTGTACATTGTACGTGCCAAGTTTTGTCAAAATCTGTTGAATGGATCTCGTGTGAAATGGTATCTCACAGTCAGACATACAGACATCCTCTGTTTTATATAGAGAGATAAATATTAACGAATTTAAGCGCAGTACGTGATTGGTCTCATCATTTTATACTTGAAATTGTTATATTTAACCATAAGTTCTGCGGGTGGTTCAATGGATAACGGATCAACTTTGAAAATGAGAGAACCAAGTTCCAATTCCAGTCGCGCTTCGTTATATTCCCCCATCCTCCACCTATCATCGACCTATCCTCAACTTATCATCCACCTATCCCCACCTATCCTCCAATCCCCACCTATACTGTCCCCCACCTATCCCCCACCCCATACTCCAAATTTCCCACCTATACCTAATTCCATCCCCCACCCCACCCTATCCTCCATCTATCCTCCACCTATTTCCTACATATACTCCACCTATCCTCCACCTATCCCCCACCTATACTCCACCCATCCCCCACCTATCCTCCACCCACCTTCACCTATTTTCAATAATCCTCCACCTATCCCCCATAATGAAACTATCCCCCACCTATACTCCACCCATCTCCCTATACTCCATCTATCCTCCAATATAAAAAACCTATCCCACCTATCCCCACCCTATAATCCATCTATCCTCCACCTATAAATTTTGTTAAACACCTATCCTCCACCTATAAATTTCTCTATACCTATCTCACCTATAAATCCAGCTATATCTCCACCTATCCTCCCCCCAGCTTCAAAGTTTGATTGGTAGAGTTTGTATCAATAAATATCTTGGAAAAAATCTTGCAATCTAAAAATATTTGTCTTCAAATAACCTGAAACGGGTTGATAAACCGCAGAAAACAAATCAATCAATCAATGACGTACAGATTAACTATTCTGTTATGTATTTCTTACATTCTCTTGAATATAAATTTATAGGAAATAACGTGACCACAAAGTGAGGGATCAATTTACATGTTGTTTGTAATATACAATTGATCCCCTACTCGTTATCCCCATTGTAATTTCTTCTTGCTTAAGAACTTCTGATTAAGTATGAATCCATCTCTTCTCCTCCAACAATGGGGTTAATTAGTAAGACTTGTATCAATAAATCGTTATTTTCTCAAAATAATTTTTTTTAAATTCTAAAAATATTCTCTGACTTTAAATAACCTGCAAACAGTTGATAACAAAAAAACAAAACAAAAACAAAAACTGATCAATCAATCCAATTAATGCCTTTGTTCCTCACATTCTTTCAATCTCAGTAACCCTTTGAGTAGAAAATTTGAGGTAAAATTTAAAGTAAAATTCAACGTAAAATTCGTCCTGAGTATGATCCGCATCCTGGGTAAGACGATAAACTACACCCGGCAGCAAGGCCTCTGATCAGGAGGTTTTGAGAAGCCTGGAACCACCTCTTAATTGCTGGTGTTCCCATGTCCAATCTGACTCAGAGTGGTAGCACCTGTTAGGGTCCCAGCTATGGGCAAATAGTTAACCTCACCCCAAAAGGGTTTAAAATACTTTTAAAGTATAAATATAGGTTTTAATACCTGGAATACTTTTTTTGGAAAAAAAATTACCAACAATATATTTCTGGGAAAAAATTATCATGAATACATTTTTGAAAAAAAAATTACCAGCAATACATTTTTGAAAAAAAATATTATCAACAATAAAAATCTTGTCGCCATTAAATAACCCATTGAGATGTTGATATGCCGTAAAACAAATCAAACTAAGCAACTAAAGGATCGAATCATTTTCTTGATTTAAAGAAAAACATCCTTAAGAAAGGCGGCGTACTTGACTTAAAACCCAAAAAATATGTTAAATTATAAAAATGTTTCCAGCAATAAAAACCTTGTCGGCATTAAATAACCCATTGAGATGTTGATGTACTGTAAAACAAACCAAACCAAATTAAAATTTATAGTAAAATACATAGAGAAATTCAAAGTGGGATGTAAAATAACGTTCAAATTTTAAGGAAACATACACTGAGTGCCCCTGAACACTTCATGGTTTAGCATTTCAAGTTACTTATCATTTTGGACTATCGTCTCAGACAGAGTGTGACGCTGAAATCCGAAGTCGTATTTGGATAACCAAAGATGAATTCCAAAAACTAAGCAGAGTATTAAGAAATAGAAGAATTTTGCTAGAAACAAGGAAAAGATTACTAAACTGTTAAGTGTTATCTGTCCTCTTATATGGCAGTGAATGCTGGATAGTCTCCTCAAAGATTGAGGAGAGACTTGAAACGACCGAAATGTGATTTTACAAGTAGATTTGATGTTTCTAGAGCACATAATGAGGAAGGAAGGCTTGGAAAATCTGATACTCACATGAAAGGTCGGGGGAATGAGGCACAGTGTAAAACAACCCATGAAATTTAGTTAACTTGAGTAAATGGATGGTGGAACAGGGTTTAGGACAGGGAATTTTGGATATGATTTTCATCGAAATTTAATAAGAAACGTCCTGAAGGGAAGAAGAAGAAAAAGAAAGAAGAAGAAGAAGAAGAAGAAGAAGAAGAAGAAGAAGAAGGAAGGAGGAGGAGAAGGAGAAGAAGAAATGGTGGTTTGAGGAGGAGGAACAAAGAGGAGAAGGAGGGGAAGGATATTTTTTCCAGAAGAAAACTGAAGGAGGGAGGAGGATTCAGAAGATTGAATATCTGAAGATTAGAAGAAGAAGAAAAAAAAGAAGAGGAAGAAGAAGAAGAAGAAGAAGAAGAAAGAAGAAGAAAAAAGGAACGAGGAAAGAAGGAGGAAAAGGAAAGAAGAAAAATGAAGAAGAAGAAAAGAAGATAGAGGAAGGAAAAGGGAAGAGGAAGAAGAAGAAGAAGGAGGAGGAGGAGAAGGAAGGAGAAGAAGAAGAAGAAAATAAAAAAAAGGAGAAGAAGAAAAAAATTTTTCAGGAGGAGGAGGAGGAGAAAGAAGAAGAAAAGAAGAAAGTTGAAGAAGAAGAAAAAAACATTTTTTTAAGAAGAAAGAAAGAAAAATCAGAATCTTTTATTTGCTTTATCACTTGGCTTAGGGCGAAAACAATAAAAACAAGTGTATATTTTTCCATCTTCTTTTTAAAATGGTTTTAGTTGTGTGCAAGCAAACTTTGTGTAGAGATTGTGGGGTAATGCAAAAACCTCCATTTTTGTTAACGCTTGTTCTTTTGCTTTTTAAAAATCCCATCCCATGCATACATAGAGATGAGTGAGTTTGTGGTATAAATTATTCAGCCTTGTCTCTGTTTGTCTCAGGATTGTGTAATTGAATGAAAACTCTGGTTAAGACAAACTCCAAGCGAGAAATCTCTTTCTGACACGAAACACAGCATTTATCATCGCGTAACACCGAACGTCGGTTGCTGACCCTGGTCATGAAAACGCAACTATTTCGGCAAACAGGCCATTGAGTAATAATTGCTTGATTTCGGAAGTAGATGAGGAGAGTTTCTGCTGTAAAGGGAGACAATTCGTAGAAGCAGATTTTTCTAATGGGCGTGAATGCGTCAGCCATCTGCAAAGTGAGATGTTCTGTTTATTCAAGCAGGCACGTGTTTTCTGATAATTATATAATCAGCAAATTAATTAAGTGTGGAAGTTAATTATCTTGTGGGCTATTGTTTCCAAGATAGAAATTAATGAGGAAAGAAAGAAGAAGAACGTAAGAAAAAAGAAAAATGAATGAAAGAAAGAAAGAAAGAAAGAAAAAAAAGAACGATTTTAGCATCAGGAAGAAAAAGAAAGAAAATAAGGAAAAAAGAAAGAAAGAAAAAAAAGAAACGCACGATACAAAGAAAGAAAGAGAGAAAGAAAGAAAATTTTAACATCGGAAAGAAAGAAAGAAAGAAAAAGAAAGAAAGAAAGAAAGAAAGAAAGAAAGAAAGAACGATTTTAGCATCAGGAAGAAATTAAGAAAATAGCGAAAAAGAAAGAAAGAAAAAAAGAAACGCACGATACAAAGAAAGAAAGAGAGAAAGAAAGAAAATTTTAACATCGGAAAGAAAGAAAGAAAGAAAGAAAGAAAGAAAGAAAGAAAGAAAGAAAAAAATTAAGAAAGAAGCGAAAATAAAAGAAAGAAGATATAGACTACAAAAAGAAAGGAAGAAAGAAAGAAAGAAAGTGAGAGAAAGAATATCAACATCGGAAAGAAAGAAAGAAAGAAAAAAAGAAAGAAAGAAAGAACGTATCGTGAAAAATTAAGAAAGATGCGAAAATAAAAGAAAGAAAAAAGATATGGATGACAGAAAGAAAGAAAGAAGGAAAGAAAGAAAGAAAGAAGGAAAGAAAGAAAGAAAGAAAGAAAGAAAGAAAGAAAATTTTAACAATAGAAATAAAGAAAGAAAAAAAAAGAAAGTAAGAACGTATTTTAGAAAAGATTAAGAAAGGAGCGAAAAGGAAACAAAGGAAAAAAAATGAAACGCATGGCAGAAAGAATCGGACAGAAAGAAAGCAAGCAAGAAAGAGAGAGAGTGAGGATTTTAATCTCGAAAAAAAAAGAAAGAAAAAAAGAAAGAAAGAAGCTATAAATGAAAAAGAAAAAAGAAACACAGTACATAAATAAAAACAAATACTGAACGAAAAAAAAAGAAAGAAAAAAAAAACTGAAATAGGTTGAAACAACCACCAAAAGTATTAATATAAGTAATATTTAACGGGAGAAGGAAAGTGTGGAAGATGGATGTTGAAAAAAAAAAAAGCAAAGTGGACGAGAAAGAAAGACAATACAACGAAAACCTGAGGAAGAGAAGAAAGCTGAAAGGAAAATGAAACAACACCACAACAAGTCGACGTAGAAGGATAACGAAAATCTTGAAAAAGTTTACATGGAATGAAAAGGACTAAAAATCATGAATGAGAATTAAAAATAAAGAAACGAAAAGAAAATTAATCATACTTATTATAAAACCCAGGTTGTGTGTGTGTGTGTGTGTGTGTGTGTGTGTGTGTGTGTTTATATATGGGATCTGATTTCCTACATTTTTCAACTGATTTCAACAAAGCTTCACTTTTTTTTTTAGGTAGTGTTTTTATTGTCTTGCACACTTTTTTTTTATTTTACATTCAGAATGCTTTAAAATTCCATTTACAAGACAATTGTTTATATTAAAATTCTATTCAATCGATAGACTCATAACGATTGAAAACAATGTTTTTGTTTGGGTTTGAAAAAAAAACACAAAAAAACTAATTAAGACATGCGTGTCCGTCAACCTTAAACAATAATATTTGTCAATTTTATTTTTCAGTCTTTATGCTGGTCGATACTTGATCTATCTCTTACAGTTACATCCCCGGGCAACGCCGAGCTCTACTGCTAGTCTTTATATAAAAGCAGAGAATTTTGGAACGAACGAATAAAATATAACATATTCCTGTAAACTTTGTATAAGCATTCGATCCAAATAACAAAGTAAATTTTCCTGTAAATTCATTTGATTTAAATAAATTATTTGTTTTAATGAAGGTTCTCTTTTATGGCTTTATGACACGAGAACGCTTTTCCTCAAGAATCCTTTTGAAACTGAAAAATAATCGTTCCAGCTATTTGAGATATTTGCAAAACTAAGGCAAGTTTTAAATTTGTTCGAATCAGACGTTTACCGCAAGGAAAGCTGCTTCTCTGTGCCACGCCAAAAGGTTTTATTTTTTTGTCTAAGTCCATTTTTCAAATCTACAAATCGACCATTCGTCCTTGCATGGAAGACTGTTGTCATATACGATTGGTGCTCCCGCTGTTCATATTGAGGTCCTTGACAAAATCCAGAGAGTTATATGCAATGTGATAGGTCCTGATCTGGCATCTCGTCTACAGTCACTTTCTCACAGACGTGCTGTGGTTTTCTTCTGTCTTTTCTACAAATACTTTCATGACAACTTCTCTCACGAGCTACACCAATTGGTTCCTAAATAATTAGTGAATACAATTTAAGAGTTTAGACGGAGACGATAGAAGTATAGGGTTGAAGTAGACATTAAAAGAAACCAGAAACCCAACCCCAAACAGAAAACAGGGGATAAAGGTCAACTCCTGTTCAAAAAACCAGAGAGATGCATGAACCGGACGATAAACAAAACTAGCTACTCCTATTGGGGGAGAAAAGCCTCATCTACCGCAAGGCAAGCAAGGAATGTTGGTTCCCTGCGTCGCGACAGAACGTTTTTCTCGTCTGAGTCCATCCTTCAAATCTACAAATCAACTACGTCCGTGTATGGAATACTGTGGCCATTGGTGCCTCTGCAGTTCGTCTCGAGGTCCTCGACTTAACCAAGAGACGGATATGCAATCTGATAGCTCCTGATCTGGCATCTCGTCTATAGTCACTTTCTCACAGACGTACTGTGGCTTCCCTCTGTCTTTTCTACACATATTGCCATAACAACTGCTCTCACGAGCGACTTCAACTGCTTCCTAAACTGCATGGATTTAAGCGTGGCATCTCAGTCCAACCCTTTGACTGATGAAACGACTAAATGTAGCAATCTCTTCTTCTCCAACAGTTTCTAAACCTCGCTCTTCCCAACAGTGGAACTCCCTTCCTCTTACTTGCTTCCCTGATAGCTATAATCTTCAAATATTCAAATTCAATGTCAATCGACATATTCCGATGTCTTGATCTTGAACCCCGTTCTTCTCTTTATCCTTTCCTCAAGCACCACCTCATTACCCTTGCTCTTACACTCTGTAACCCCTAGCGTGCTACTGGCACTCCAGCCTCGCTTGGGGTGATATGCATATAAAAAGTACAAAAACCAACCAAATATGTTTTGATTAAATAAAAACGAAACATGTTAAATTAATAAAAGTTTCCAATTTGTTCCTTATCATATATATATATATATATATATATATATATATATATATGTGTGTGTGTGTGTGTGTGTGTGTGTGTGTGTGTGTGTGTGTGTGTGAATCCTCTTCTTCGTCCAACTATGGGTAAATAGCAAGACAGAATGTGTTATATAGCCTTGGTTGGCAACTGGTGTAGGAGAAGGACAACTCTGAATTCAAAACCAGCGGAAGGTCGTTTGGGGACTTGTGGCACGTAGTGCACCAGGTCTCTTTATTCAGCCCTTCAAAAAGTGTGGTTGGTTCTGCACAAAGCTTACACTATTATAATCACGTCATATATGCTGGTGTCTGGCTGTCAGTTCCTGTGAACTGAGCTGCTTCACCCTCATACGACGAATTCGACATCAGAGACGAATATATATATATATATATATATATATATATATATATATATATATATATTTAATAATATAGACAACTTTTGTATATTTATTTTATGTAAATTCTTTTCATATCATCTGATAAACTTAATAACATTATCGTATTGATACTTATTTTAATGATAATGTTATGATAATGTTATCAAGCTTATCAGACGATATGAAAAGAAATTACATAAAATAAATAGACAACACACTTGTCTATATTATTTAATGAAGCATGCATCAATGAAAAAATGCTACCTAAATGCACAATATATATATATATATATATATACACATGACGCTCGCAGGCACTACTCTTTCAATGTATCACAACTCTTCAGTGCGACTAGACATGCGAAAGCCTTCAGCCAAGATTGAAACCCAACAAATTTGGTGTCAGTCAAAATTCCTACCACTGAGATATCTTCATTCAAACAAGCCAGACAAATCTGTCATAGCATATATATATATATATATATATATATATATATATATTGTACTTATATATATATATATATATATATATATATATATATATATTTTACTTTATATATATATATATATATATATATATATATATATATATATATATGATCGCCATGAATAGATGCATTATGTATTTATTAATACTTCTAACAATTAAAAGGAAAAATTAAAACGAGCTAGCTAACCGGTTTCGAAACTCGCTCAACACAGCTAAATCGAGTTTAATAAAGATATAATTAGCAATGAATTTTGGACAATATGCAAGGAATCTCATGGAGTGAATTTTGTGTCCCCACTTTAATAGTAAGCGAGAATAAATTTATTCATATTTTGTAGTTTTGTTTGTCCAGTTTACCATACTTCAACCTGATTCTGTTAGCAAGGTCAGTGACCTAAAAGCAAAGTTAAACAACTTAACGCCATCTTAGGCATGTACTCCTGTTTACCTTAGTGAATCAAAGTAGAACAGAGACCAATATCAGATAATTAAATCACTTCGTCGTAATAAGTCATTGGTAATTACGAAACCTGATAAAGGCTCAGGTGTCGTGATTCCTGATTATCAAGATTATTTTAAGATGATGACTATTCTTGGAGACTTTTCTAAGTTTGTCCAGCTAGGCCCAATAGATAAACTTGATTCGGCATTATCTATTGAGGCTAAATTCCAAAAACGTCGAGTCAACTGGATTAAAAGTGAATTTTTACCCACTGGAATTTCTAATTTAATAAGACCCTCAGGTTCTATTCATCCCTGTCTCTATGGTTTACCCAAAACACATAAGGTTGGGGTTCCATTGAGACCTATTTTGTCCATGATAGGGTCTTCTCAACATGGCGTGGCCAAATGGCTTACCACCATATCCCTGCCGGTTTTGGAATGGTATAATTCTTCCTGTATAAAGATTCGTTTCGTTATACGTCGACTGACAAATTGATATGTTCCTATGATATTTCCAGCCTCTTTACCTGCATCCCTCTTGCTGAGACTATTGATATATGTGCTGGTGCCTTATATTGTAGTCAGTTGTCCCCTCCTGTTATTCCTGAGGATGTTTTTGGCAAACTGATTAAATTTGCCACATGATGGAATTTAGTTTCGACAGCGTCATGTATAGGCAAAATGATGTTTCAATGGGTTCCCCTTTAGGACCCATTTTAGCTAACATTTTTGTAGGATTCCATGAAGAGAGTGTATTATCTAAATCTAATAAACCTGATGTTTACTTGGATGACACTTTTTGTCTCTTTAATAACGAAACTGAAGCTGACCATTTTCTTTCGTCCCTGAATAATATTCATCCAGCTCTCAAATGTACACAAGAAAAGGAAAATTAATTCTTTCCTTCCCATTCTTGATGATTTGGGTAGCAGAACTTCTTCGGGCTTTCGAAAACCGACGGTTACCGGTTTGTATAAGCATTGGGACTCTTTTTGTCCAATCAAACGTAAAAGTCAATTTAATTAAGACCATTACTCATAGGACTTAATGATCTGCTCAAAATCCAAGTTAGATGATGAATCAAAATTTATTACTACCACTCTCTGTAACAATGCCTATTCGTCGGGCATTGTTCAGTCAGTAATTAAGAATAAAATTTCGGAATTCAATAAAGTTAAATCGGCTACAGTGGAAACATTTCCTGTGTAGCTGCGCCATCCTTGCCTGGGTAGTATCAATGATAGATATACTAAGCGGGTTTCTTTAGCAGTTCGATATTGTTATTTTTCTGCTAACAGTCATGTTGTTTTTTTCTGACACACCTGTCCTTCCATCCATGCGAAAGACGTTCTTCCTCCTCATCATAATAGTTCTTTGATTTATTCATTTAAATGTAGTTGTGGTTCACAATATATAGAAAGAACGACTCAAAGGCCGGATGTCATATTAAAACAGCGTGTACCAACAAAAATCCGAAATCTTACGTATTCTTCGGCAGATATTCTGGCCAACACATCCGGGTCTTCCATCGTGGATCACCTGGTAAATAGCCATAATTGTGGTTTACCTACTACATGTCGCTGGCGAGTATTGCATTTTATTGATGTTATAAAGATTGACATTTCATTTCCAATCTCTGTTTTAGTTATTCTTCATTCAGAAACCTTTTTAGGTTACAACAATATGTATATGTAATAATATATATA